AAGTCATTATAATTGTTAATAGGGGTGATCATTAAAGCTTGTATCTAGCCAATAGTTTTAGAGTCTTGGGAGATCAGCTAAAGTACACATAAGTTGATCCGGACACTCCCGCTAATATTAAAAGAATATATATATTTATTAACATGAAACACGTTCGATACTTTAATCAAGATTCCCTTAATTATTGTTTACATGTTGAGTGGGACAGTCAACAAACTCCATGATTGTCTTCAGCAGTCTCTGTCCAGGTGAATTCTTTGTGACCCACTTTAATAGATCATATACCTTTTTAACCCTTTATTTATTGAAATGATAAGTAGATTAAAAAATTTCTCTTTAACCCTCAAATTAGTAAAATTATAAATTACTATGTACATTTCAAATATCTCTCATCAATACCCTTTCCTTCACCTCTTTCATTTAAACAACACATTAAACAAAATCAAAACTTCACATCATGATCAACCATCCCTAAACATATCAAAATCAAACTTTACGTAATCAACCATCTTCAAACACATCAAAATCAAAACTTCACCTTCACGTAGGTTAACAACCACATGGGCACTCTCTCCTTCCAATCCGGTTTTTAAGGATGATATCTACCCGTTTGTGGCTGTTACACCTTAGCATCGGCATTGCTTGCTTCACTAGTGTCAATGTTTGCTTTAGTAGGGAATTCTTTCTCTCTCATATTAATTAAATTAAAAACTGAAACAACTACAACTCCAGATGTTACATCCAATCAAGCGGTAGTTAGGGGTTCACTAAAAGAAGCTTCACTTCTCCCTAAATCCAACGAGTACACTCTTGTTTTGTCGCACCTGAACAGTATGCAAGCTACAATGGCCATGATCTAGTCTTGAGGATAGCGAGGTCTGCCATGGCAAGCCTCATCATCTGTTGCGATGGCCACAACCTGGCCTTGAGCAAGCAACAATGCCCATGGTTTGGCCATGCTACTTCTTGGAGTTGTCGACTACTTCAGCATTAATGGGTCATGCAAAAGCATTCGAGGTTCTTGACTCGTAGGCGTTTTGGGCCTTTTCAATGAAAGGCTGTTGAAGAATTTCTTAGATTATTAATTCAGTATTGGGTTTGGGCTTAGGAATATGATTTCTTGTAATAAGGTTTTAGTCTTTTAATCCTAATATATAAATATACTTTTATCTTATAATGAGTGATAGCAAACAATAGAGCAAATTACTTTCATGGTAAACGAGAGAGGAGAGGCAACATTGCAATAATATTGACTTAGCTGGACGTAGCTTTTTAATTGTGTAAACCAGGGTAAAATTTAATTGTGTAAACCAGGGTAAAATCGCACGTATTTGTTCTTTAGCTTTACTGTTTGTATTTGTGTGTTTACTGTTATTTTGATTTTTGTATCTCTCTGTTTGTTCACTACAATTGTGATGGTCAATTTGGCCCACATAAAAACTATAACCAGACCCCCAACTGTTAAAAATCACCATTTCTCCCCTCTCTTCAGTCTTACTTAATTGGATGTTGGCTCTTTTTTATCTTTGAAACATCTTATTTGCCCTTTCATATGCATACGATATTAGACTACAACTTTGTTTATGAATTTGCAACTGTTGATGACTTGAGAGGGCAATTGGAAAGAAATTTTAAAAATTTAAGAAAGTTATAATAATATTAATTGCAATTAGAAATTTATGGACCAAAATACCCTTATAAAGTACAATGTAAATGTCTATCTTGTCCTTACATATGGCTATTAATGGACACTTTTATCTTCAAAAAGTGAAGTGTCCTTGAAAAGTCGCTGCTATGTGCTATAATTTGATTCGAATGATGAAATTGTCCCCCTTAAGTAGCCATTAGCCTATTAAAGGATGATTTTTAACGGTAGAGGGTCTGTTGAGTACCTTTTGGAGTTTTTAGATGCTAGAAATTTCAGGAGTTATAGGGGGTGTGATGCTATCTTTTTCTACTCACACTTCCGTCCTCGTGAAATATAACTGTGTTGACCACAGTCAACGGATTTTGTCCTGTGAAAATGATAAGAAATTTCAGCCTCTTGCTTATATAAATACACGTACTTCACTCTAATGAACTTATGGTTAAAGAGAGGAACCGAAGAGAAAAAGAAAAAAAAAATAAAAATTATTGTAGTAGTTTCTTCATTTCTTTTGCAACATACCAAAATGATCTTCATTAGCCAACAACAATTGATGGGTCTTCTTAAGTCGTTCAACCCCGTGATGCTTATTTACATCTTCCCCAAGTTCATAATCACTGCAAGCTATCGCATTCTTTCTCGTATGGGAGTGGAACTTGTTTTAGGTAACAGTACTGGATATCAAGCAATTTAGTAAATATTATCTATTGTGTTTGTCTTTTATCACTACTACTCTATCATCACCACCACCACGTACAGCACTCCAGCACCACTATCACCGATTCAGAGTCACACGGCCACTAATATTCCACCACCATCATGGTTCCTTCATGGCCCTCACAATAGCTAATCTATGACTTGATAAATAATTTCCAGTACCGAATATCTATTATCTGTGCCAAAATAGGTTTATACATATTGAGATTGAAGCTGGAATTCCAATGCTTGATGTAGTTTCTCTTGTATATCAGTGTATTTATTCAGAATTTAGGATTCTTTCAAGTAATTTATTTATATATTTGTGTTTGTCTATATATTATTACTGCTACTCCATCTTCACCGCTAAGTCTCAATTATGAATTACCTATATATTTCTTATATAAACATGGTATTCCGAAGCCCAAAATGAGAAAACCACAGAGTTACAAACAGATAAAATATCAAACTAAAAGTAAACGAAACATTTCGTTTTGTTCGGATCAATAGAAAATACTAAGGAAGTTAATAAAACTGAAGACTTTTCAAATAATTAATTAGAAGTTAAAATTGATGACTGATGCTGTTAAATTTCTAATTAGTTTCCACTATTTTGTTTTTGAGAGAGAAAGTGTGTGTTTCAACTTTGTTATATAATGGGGTCGAGATGTTTTTAACTTTTGATTGAGTGGACAGAGCTTCACACCATTGGATTTATCCAAACTAAAGCTTAATTATATTTGTTGTAGTAGAAAGTGTATTGGCAGATTATTAATTTGATTACACACCCTCTATTCTAAGGCACTAATGGTTATTTTAATTTCCAGTCTTGGAGTTCACCTACAAAGTGGTAGACTACACTGTAGTGCGTCTTAACATCTTATACCTCACCGACAAAACTAATGATGTCATGAAAGCTGTAGTATTAACAAACATTGGGGACGCACTATCAGTGGTTCTGAGAATTGTTGCAGTTTACATTGCAGAAACCCGCCTGGGTCATATAAAAGTCATCATCTTTTCAGCTATTTCCTTCACTTTGGTAAGTTTGTTAATTTAGCATTCTGTTAACTTTGAAAATATGGCTTAATTTCCTCTCTAATCCTTTACAATATTACATTTTTGTATTTCAACCGTCACATTGTCTAAGCTTTATTACAGTCAACCTCCATATGTTTGGCAAAATAAAAAACCACCCATTGGTATAAAAAAGCTTATACTTAATCCCCATGTTTGTTATATCTAAAAGAAATCTATTAATTTCAGAAATAACTTTTTACCCTTCAATATAACTTTTTATTAAATTAATGAATTTATACTTATAAACTGAAAACTTTCAAAAATATTTAATAAAACATACAAATTTCAAAAACTAACAAGAAAAGTCCCAAAATTCCAAATCCAAAATTCTAGGACCCAGTGGTACTCAAGGCCAAAATGGCCTCACAGCAACTGCTTGTGACTAGAATGGCCTCCTTTGATCATTATAAGGCCTGGCATCGGGTTCACGAGGCGGGAAATGGCCTTGCTAATGGCTTTGCGATAGCTATTGAGGCATGTTAGGCCTCGTACAATCATGATAAAGTCTATTGGAAACTCGTCGGAGTCGATCCAAATTTGAGAATAAAAGCTGTGGGGAAGAAGAAAAAGGGAGGAAGAAGGGAAAAAAGAAAGAAGATGGAGGGGGAAAAGAAGAAAAATAAAGAAGAAGGGGAGGGAAAAAAAATTCTTGTCGTTTAATTTTAGAAAAAAAACTTGGATGTTGTTGTCATTCATAAAAGACAAAAAGATAAAAAAAAAAAAAAAATAGTTAGTTATCATTTAATTTTAAAGACAAAACTAATATTTCCCAAAAAATCATGGAATTTCTGGTATCATTGGGTGTTGTTGTAATTCATGTAACATATGGGGTCCATTAATATAATTACACTTATTTTCTAAAATTGTTTTTTCTTTATGTTTATACTTAATATAGTAACAGAGTTAAAAACATTTTGGTCTATGAAGGTTGATCTAATTAATCATAAGATATATATAATCTAATTAATCATAAGATTATGAAGAATCTAAAAGCAACACAATTATTGACTGAAGTGTTACTTTTAATACTATTATACCTAAAAATTGCTTAGATTAACCAAAATGTATTTAACATGTCGCAAAATAATAATAAATTATTATCTATTGAATATGCCTGGCACTGGCATGTCCAAGGTAATATGCGTGGACTAATAGAGCCAATGGCTTGTTGCAGGGATTGGCTCTCTTATACATATCGACAATTAAGTACTCTGAGCTGTTCGTAATAATTGGAATATTATTATTAGCAGTGGGTAAAGCTGGATTGGAGGCACTATTGGAATCATTTCTTTCTCATCAATTAAAATTTCACGAACCAGAAACAAACTTCGATGAGAGTAGGGTAAGGACTCGAAAAAATGTGTGGAGTTCGGTGTGGGGGTTTGTTATTGAGTTTTTCCCTGCAGTAGTTGAACTGGAAAAAAAGTATGAGAGTCGACCTAGAACTCAAAAAAGTGTGTGGACAACGGTTTGGATTAGGGCGTGGTTGCTTGTTATCACATTTTCTCCTGCAGTAGTTGCATTCTTATTAGGATTCTTTTTTCAATGGAAAAACAATGTATTGATCGCAACATGGATGATGGGAAGCGCTTGCTTCTTGTTCTGTTACAATACTCATCTGTACCATCCTAAACCTAGAGAATTAGCTGGTGTTGGCAATGGTTTTAGTGTAATTTTCAGTGTCATCAAGGCTTTCGTATTACAAATTTGGATTCTTGGATATCCTACCTCTTCCTATCATCCCGTCGATTATGATAATGACGAAGATAAATTTCAGTTGTCGCCGAAAATCAATTGGCTCAGGTATGTACATCCCTATTTTTTTTATTTTACCATTGGTCTGGTGTATATGTATCTATAACATTGACACAAAGAAAGAACTAGTTATCTATTGAGCTAAATAGAAACCATGGAAACATTAACCCTAAGCCTTCATCTCTCCTCTTTTTTTTTTTTTTTTTTTTTTTTTTTGGTCATTTGTAATTTTTTTTTTTATTAGATAATAATTCTCTGAATCGCAGAGGGCTTGACAAAGTTGCCATTATAGAGTCCTCCGCTCACAGTCAAGAAGAACAGAAGAAGTTTGGCAGGATTTGCAGTGCGTCACAAGTCCAGTTAGTAAAGCGTTTTTTAAGTATGATTCCCATGTGGACTACCATTCTTGTGGTTGGTTTGGTAGTATCAACAGGCGACTCCTTTTTTCCTGAGCAGGGATACAACATGAAGTCCTCAGATTTTATAGTCTCCCTATTTATACTTCAAAGTCTTTCACGGAGAATGGCCTCCTATCTGTTATCTTTATTAATCCACTCAAAGTGGATACCAGAAGCTAAAAAGAAAACGGCTATACAAGTTGGAATTTGGGGTGGAATTGTTTCATCTATACTTTGCTCTTCTATTGCATGGCAGGTTGAGCAGCATCGCAGGGCATTATCAGACATGAATACCATGAGTATATTCTGGCTTTCTCCTCAGTACTTTCTATTAGGTCTCACGGAAGGGCTTGTTGAAACTGGACTAGATGAGTTCACCGTTGAGCAGTTCCAGGATCCATGGAAAGAGTATGCATGCGAAATTACACAGTTCGTTTTTGGGCTTGGAAGTTTCCTTAGCATTCTTTATATTAAAGCAAACGAAAGCTTGTTTCGTGACAGTCTATGGGACGTGTACTACCATCGGCTAACCATTGTCAGTTATGTCAATATGCTTTTCTTTTTTTCCATTATATACATCTTCTACAGATCCAGGTACCCAAATATAAGTGGCGGAACCAGATGTTGGATCATCCCGGCTAAAATTTTCGGAAAAGGAATAAAGGCTAATCTCATCCGCTACCCCTGAGAGATATGAAAGTAAGAAGAACCACGATGATTATTGGAAGCTATTAAAAGCACCATCGTTGTTCAGACATCGTTTACGGAAGTCAATAAAATAGTAGTTAATGACCTTATTAGCCTTTGACTGTTTTGGGCAAGGAAAATGTAATATATGTCTCTCTCTCATTTGTAAATTCCTTTTTACTCTATTATCACATAATTATAGTTTCTTATTTATTTAAATATAAAATAAATTTGGCATGGTAAGACCCCATCTGGTACAACTTATTTGAGTAAAGGTTATTGAAGTAGTGATTTGAAAATGTAGTCTTACTGAGAGATTTATTAGCTGTTTGGTTAAGAGAATATAGAAAGCGTTTCTTAGTATTAATTTACCAAAAAGGGTTTTAATATATAAGAATAAGTTAAGTCTAACCTGTAAAATAGAATAGGATACTTTTGAAATTTCAACAGTTTAAATATCTTATTTAATATATAAAGTAATATGTTGCATACGAGATACTACCACACAACTTTAGAAAAAGTTTTTATGCTTTTAAATAAGTTCTTTTGCTAGCGGATAAGTTTGATCAAACAAATTCTAAAGGTTCATTATGTCTTCCAAATTAGGTATATCGTTTTTTCTATCAATAAATGTTTCTCGCTCCATCAAGATTTATCAGAAAAAAAAAAAAAAAAAAATTATATGTAATTAAGTATTATTTTCAATCATCCTCAAAATAAATTTCTAGTTTCACCCCCTTCTTGTTCACCCATAGAGAAATGATAATCGACCATCTTACAAGTAGTTTAAAACTTGTTTTGTCAAATGTATTAAGAAATAGAATTAAATGTGTGATACACGAAGAAAGTACTATAATTATCAAAACAAACAAAAAATTAATAATATATAAATTTCAAGCAATACATCAAGAAGTTAAGTACTTTTTCGATCAAAATTACCCTTCAACTTAAAACATTTGATGAAAACGTTAAATTAAAATTAAAAATTATTAAGAAAATTCATTTATATTTTTGGTTAATATTTTATGTTTAGATTATTAATATGCCTTCACACATGATAACCTAAAATGTTATGATAATCTATAATGCATGATATGAAGTTTTTTTCTTTATTATTAGATAACCATGACAGTAAAAATATAATTAAATTAGGGGTATTATCACTCGGATAAGTACAAAATGTTAATAAAAGAATACAGATGTAAGATTAAATAGTTTAATTATGAAAAACTTTTAAATGAAACATAAATACAATATTTAGTTTTATTTCTTAACAACAATATCAAAATTTGACTTTTGTTGTGAAATCCCACATCGCTCCGTGTCGGAGGGGGTTGCGTGGATATATGGGGCTATAGGCCTTAACCCAATATAACGCGTTTTGAACATGAAACCTATAAACAAAACCGTGAGGTCTTATAGTACCAAAGTGGATAATATCATGTTGGGTCATTTATAATACGCTATCAGCACAATCGCAATGGGGGTGTGTGTTGTGAAATCCTACATCGCTCTATGTGAGAGGGGGGTACGTGGATATATGAAGCTATAAGCCTTAACTCAATATGACGCGTTTTGGGCCTCCAGCTAGAAATAAAATCATGAGGTCCTGCAGCGCAAAAGTGGACAATATTATGCTGAGCCATTTATAACAACTTTTGAATTGCCACATTAATAATTTTATGAGTTATGAGTAGTATTTTAATAGGATTCATTTAAGACGTTGATAAAAGATATAAAAGACAACACTGCTCATGACAATGTATACGTAAATGTTCTATTTTTTTGCTTTTAAAATAAAGCTTTTATCCACTCAGTGAGATTTGTATATCTTCTCCCTGCTTTCCAAGAAGAAGTTCCATAGCTCGTGCCATTTTTATATATTATTTTTTATGCATCAACTGGGTTGTATATTTATATGCCTAGTTGAATGGCATGTGGGACTGTGTAAATCTTATTTTTTTTAGACCCTATGATATGTTTTTCTAGATTTTGTTGATATGATATATTTGATGAAGGGACGAGAGATCCCATTTGTAGTTTGGGATTGCATTGAGTTATTAGAAGTGAATTATTTTAGTATTTTCGAGGTGGTAAGGTCAGAGGAACGAAAGGAAACTCCATCGAATTTTCTTAGAAAATAAAATTTTATACCTAGTTATGGGACTTATCACTTGGCTAGAATTTAGTACAATGCAAAGTTTTATATTAGACTTTGAGGGAGGATTAAGGATGTTTCCTGTCAGTAAAAATATATATGTTAATAGAAATGTAATGCTACATTATCTTATATACAAGATTTTGTATACAAATATTGTATTAGTGAAAAGAATTATTCAAAATAGATTGAAACCTTACTATACAACTCTAGTTAAACATGTCAATGATTTGAATAAATAAATAAATAAATAGCAAAAGACACTATACAATTCAAAGTAGAAACAATAACTTCTATTTAGAATATATAAATCAAAATTAAAAAATAAAAGATAATCTCAACACTGGGTGAGCTAACAGTCAATCAGGACTTTTGTGTGTATTATTCAAAAAGCCTTAAGTTTGATCCATTTAGACCCCTAATAGGGGTGGCCACTGAGAGATTTATCTGGCTGTTTACTTCAAGGCCTCTGAGGAGTTAGTTGAGGTGTACATAAGCTAACCCAAACACTCTTGATCACTTAAACAACCTCCAATTTGACTACTGTACGCAACACTTAAGTCTAGCAGACGTTTTAAGTAATCTTCTAGTCCTTGAGGTTTGTCACATGCAGTTAACAAAATTTGAGATTATCTCGTTAAAAAAATATTCTTTATTTTGAAGTTATATGGGCACGCTTAGAGCTGGGCAAGGGACCGGTCCCTTGCAGGCCCAGGCCTAGGCCCGTTTGGGACTGGTCCCACTCATGGGCCTGGGACATGAGAAAAATCAGGACCTGGACCAGGCCTTAGGCCTGGTCGGGACTGGTCCCATGGGCCTTGGACAAATTTATTTTCTCCCCTCAATTTTTTTATATTTTGAGGGCAAAATGAAATTTTAGAGGGGGTTTTTAGTATTTTTTAGGGGTAAAATTTATAAATTTTTTAGACCTGGAAGATTTTTTTTTATATAAATTTTGTAAAATTTCATTTTAACTCTCATAATTTATATATATTTAAATTAATAGGGGGTTTTATGTAATTTGATAGGGGACTATATTGAAAAAATATAATTTTTTTTGGGCCCAGGCCTAGGACCAATCCCAGGCCCGGGCCTTGGAGGAGGACCTAGTGGAGGGCCCGGGCCCTCCTCCTTAGGCCTGGTCCCATTTTGGGACCAGGCCTCCTAGGTCTGATCCTCTCAAGGACCGGTCCTAGGACCGGGTTTTAGAGCTGGGCTTTTGGGCCCGATCCCAAATGCCCAGCTCTAGGCATGCTTAGTAATTAAATAACGATTCTTTGATTTTTTATTTCTATTCATTTTTCGAGTTATTTGATTTTTTAAAATTTTTTTTTTTTTTTTTTTTTTTTTTTTTTTTTTTTTTTTTTTGCTTTTTGCTATGTTGGAAGACGAAAAACTTATAATAATATTTCCTTCGACTAAAACCGAACGCTCCTCGACCTTGTAAAACAGATTTCCTACCCATTAAATAAAAATCATCGTTTAATTGGATAACTGTGTTGACCACAGTCAACATAATTTTGTCCAGTGAAAATGTTGGGGAATTTCAGCCTCTTGCTTATATACGTATATGTACTTTACAGAACTTGTCGTTAAATCTTGGCCCTAATAAAAGACGGGTTAAAGAGAGGAACCGAAGAGAAAAAGAAAAAAGGAAAAAAATTTGTAGCAGTTTCTGTATCTTGCAACATACTGAAATGGTCTTCATTAGCCAAGAACAATTGATGAGACAGAACTCGTTCAACCCCGTGATGCTTATGGACATCTTCTCCAAGTTCATAATCTCGGCAAGCTATCGCATTCTTTCTCGTATGGAAGTGGCACTTGTCTTAGGTAACAGTACTGGACATCAAGTAATTTAGTAAATTATATATCAATTGTGTTCGTCTTTTATCACTTCTACTCTATCATCACCACCACCACCACGTACAGCACCTCCACCACCACTATCACTGGTTCACAGTCACATGGCCACCAATATTATTCCACCGCTAAGTCTTCTTTGCCTATATCTTTGCTTAAATAAAAATGGCTCCAAAGCCCAAATTGAGAATAATAACGGTTATTTTAATTTTTAGTCTTGGTGTTCGCCTACAAATTGGAAGACTATGCTGTAGTGTGTCTTATTATCACATACTTCATCGAGACAACTGATTATCATATCATGAAAGTTGCGGTATTGACCAGCATTCAGGAGGCAATATCAGAGTGTCTGAGAATTATTGCGGATGTCTAATCTGGGATGATCTTGATTGATCAAACAGAGACCATATAAACTAAATATGTAGTAAAAAGAAAATTTCATTTTGGAGCTTATATATAGATGAATGTTCAAAAAATTTCTGCATTTGTAACTTACTTTGATGAACTTATGAATTCTCACCGCTCTAATTATCCACAGGTAGATGCCACCAACAATGATTGGTTCAAGTTCAATATGATACTCATAGAAACCAGAGAGCTGGAGATGTTGTTTGTTGATAGGAGCTAAGGTGGCATAGAGATTACAGGATGCAGCCTAGCTGCATCAAACAATACAAAATTGACTAACATTTCCATGCTTGATGCTTTTGAAAGACTAGGATCCATGGATCTAAAGCGCTTACTGTCATGCATTTCTTTAAATTTTGCACCAAGGCAATCAGACATTAATTTCAGTCACATTAGTCAGGATCATATTCAAAAAAATTACAACAATCAATCTTATCAGTGCCAATGCCAACAGAGGAGGACTAACAATACCATCAAGCCAAAAGAATCAATGACACACCAATACTACAAATAATACACATTTTGCAGTCCTGCTAACAATAATGAACTCTGTGTAACTAACCCCAGCAATGCAACTTTGAATTACTCAATGAAAATTTCAGTTTTTCGATGGTAGTACCTTTTCCAGGAACAATTACGACAGAAGCAGATTTACAATTGTGGAAGCAATACTCACTCACACTTCCCTGCAGTACACTGCACAAAAATCCAACAACATACAAGAGAAGCACTACCACAGTAAGATAAGGCATTACCACAGTAAAAATAAAACATACTAACACACAGAAAGAACCTTTGCATTAAGCTTCTGCCTCGGATACCCATAACCACAGCTGCAGCCTTCATCCTTTCAGCTTCCTTGCAAATTACCTTACCTGCTTCACCTTGCACAATCCGAGCCTCGGTCATCACCTGGCCCCTGTCAATTACAATAATTTAATGCTAACTCTTCTCATAACACCTTGCATTGATTCTCAAAGTTACAATACTACACAACAACCATATGAAGGTTTAATATAAACTAAAACATCCTTCTCTCTCATTTATTGTATTCACATTTTTATTTTCACTCTTTCCATTCATTTTGTGACACATCAATTCATGTTACTAAGTTCTTTAAAAGCTAATCATATACTAATTTAAAATTTATATTGCAGTGCATGATCGAGGGAATTATAATCCTGTAACTGTACTGTATATCAATGAAGAAGCAAACTTTACAAATATGGAGTTGCAACATATATACAAAGCTAAGAACAAGGACCCAGAAGTCTTTCAGCAGCTCATTGTTTGCATTGATGCAGGCTTCAAATCAAGTAATTTTGGATCAAGCCTAGTACTGCTATTTGATTTTTTTTCATTTGACCTATAAAGGATATCATCAGTTGATCCACTTCATTAAACTAACATAAACAGAAACTCCAACTAATTTTAGAAATCAAACAAATTCTAGCAGATTTTCTTTTTTAACATCTCTCAAACAACAACGGATGAAGTTCACAAAAGACTATTAAAAAAGAAAATCAAATCAATCACTGACTTACCATAGCAACTTCAAGAGCCTCTAGAGCAAGGTTCTGCATGAGCTCCCGGCTGGCCTCATAAACAATCTCGTTATTCACAGCTACAAGAACAAACCCACCAAAACCCACATAGCAAAATTCAATCTTTCATCAAAATCCACAAACTACACGACCAAACAAATAACAAAAAAAGGTATGGTTTCATACTTGAAACTGCATGAACAAGATGGATGGTGTCAGCAAGCCTGCAGAGATGAATGAGGGCCCAATCAAAAGCATGCTTGCTGTTAGGACCATGATCAACGGCTATTAATATGTCTCTGCCTCTCCTTCTCTCGCCCGTCTCTCTCTCCAGCTGTAAACTTCTTCATCTTCCTTCACCGGTTCCATTGTTCAGTTTGAAAGCAAACTATTTTACGAAATTTCAGACAAAAAAAAAAAAAAAAAATCTTGTTTTTATTTTTTAATCATATGGTCTCTTGATGGTTGATATAAAGCAGGTTGCAAAGTTGAAATTCTACACGTGTAGTAAAAAAAAGGCTGGGGATGGAAATTGGAATGTTATGCAGATGGGCCGAAATGGGCCCATCCATGAAGGGTTGGTGGTCAGTTTTCTGACAGCAAAGTTTGATTCCATTACTTTACAAATAGCGAGCCTTTACCGTTTAAAAACAGCCATAATATGGAGATGAACTCAGTATGCAGATGTTTCACTCTTTATTTGCATAAAACATGAATCTCGTTATTCACAATGACAGAAATAAACCCACCAAAAACCACAAACAAAATTCAATCTCTCATAAAAAACAACAAACTACACGACCAAACAAATGAGAAAACAAGTCCGGCTTCATACTTGAGACAGCATGAACAAGATGGATGGTGTCAGCTACCCTGCACAGGTGGATCACCGGGGCGGCCCAATCAATATGCATTCTTGCCGTTGGGTCCATGATTCTTCTTGACAAAGACACAAGTAATAGAGAAATTACATGCGCTACCTACGGCTACTCATCAAAGCGCAGAAGAGCGAGGCATCCGAAATGTTCTGATCTCATATCCGATAAAATTACGAATATAATAAAACCTCAGCAAAACACATTATAAATACGATTCTACCAAAACTTAAAAAAAAGCATCACTTTCTATCATATAATTGATTGCCTGGGAAAAAAAAAATATTAAAACCATACAAGAATCTGAAACAAAGAAAAGGAAAATTGGAAAAGGAGAAGAGAGTTAATATTCAAGTGAAGACGGAGGATAAAATTCATATCCTTTTCTTTTATGATACATAATTACATATAACAGGGTACATAATTACATATAATTACATATAAATGTTCTCAGATTTTGCTACTAAGACTGTTACAAAATTGTGACAACTCATACCTAGCAGTGCAACTATAAAATTTTTGCCCAGAAGTAAGTGTTAAAGGAAGGACTAACCCAACAGCAAAGCTCATGCTGTTAATCTCTTGTCCTTAATTTTTTTCTTTTCAGCATTGGAAATAACCACGGCCTCCTAAAAGGAAACCAAATTACCTGTCAGAATTGTTGTATTTACTTCCTCCTGTGCCTGCCCTTGAGTTTCTTGATTTTTATTTGAGACTTGTAAACACCGTAGCTGCCCAATGTGAAGCTACCTCCAGCATTGAAGTTTAAACTACCAGAAGCCTGAAATGGAGAAGGGTTCTGGGGGGTGGCTAGACTCTGTTGGCTTCCAACTTGGAAAGGATTTGCTCTTGATGGAGTTGTTGAACCAAAGACAAAGCCAGTCGAAGGTGTCATGGGTTGTTGACCAAATATTGGAACTGCAGGTGTGGCTGCCTGAACTGTGTCCTCAGCCATGCTGTCTTCCATACCCTCTTGATCATTATTATTATTTGAGGGAGTAGAACCAAATGTAAACACAGAACCCGCATTACCAGAGGCAGGTTGTGATGAGGTGGCTGCTGCAGCTGAAGAAAACGGAAAACCGGAACTTGATGTGGTATTCGTGGATGACCCACACAAAGGAGCACTGATAGTAGCAGCAGACGAAGCTGTTGCTCCAAACAGAAACCTAGTTGAGGCTAGTTGAGGGAGATGAAGAGTTGAATTTTGAAGCAAATGAGGGAGTCTTAGGAGCTTGCCAACTGGAACCAAATACATCGTTGGTAGAGCCACTGGTGGAGCTGATTGAGTTGGCCTCTGACGAAGAAGTGGAATTCAATCCAAATGTAGGAGTTGAACCAAAAGGTTTAGCCACAGAAGTTGAGGAGCCATATAAATAACTGCCATAGGAAAAGGCGGGATTCCCAGCCAACCCAAATGACGTAGATGACGAAATTGATCCAAATTGATTAGGCGTGCTCTGAGTTGAAGTTGCAAGAACAGTTGCATTAACAGATGCCTGAGCACTTCCAACACTAAAAGGGTTAGAAACTTGAGCCTGGTTGGTAGAAGCTGAAGAAGTAGCTCCGACACTGAATCCAAAGATGCTACTTCCAGTGCTTGGGATTGAAAGATGTACAGCCAAAAATACTACTTCCTGTGCTAGCAATAGGTGGAGTTACAGCACCAAAAATGCTGCTTCCAGTGCTTGCCGATGGCTTACTGCCAAAAATGCTACATCCAGTGCTTGCCGATGGCGTAGGCATGCCAAAAATGCTACTTCCAGTGCTTGCCGATGGTGTACTGCCAAAAATGCTACATCCAGTGCTTGCCGATGGCGTAGGCATGCTACCGAAAATGCTACTTCCAGTGCTTGCCGATGGCGTACTGCCAAAAATGCTACATCCAGAGCTTGCCGTTGGCGTAGGCATACTGCCAAAAATGCAACTTCCTTAGCCAATTGCTGCCGACGATGTGCATCTAGAAGTGCTACTTCCTGTGCCTGCAAAAGTTGATGTCCCACACAAAAAGCATGGTGGTGGAATTACCACAGTTGGGCTCCTTGATCTCCGGTTAGTGAGGCCTCTGCCTCTCCTTCTCTCTCGATCTCTGCTACTGGCACCTTTGGTTTTAAAGGCGGTAACTTCATCTCTCTCTTTCTCTAGCTCTACGTACACTTCTGCATCTTCCTTCACCGGTTCCATTGTTCAATATGAAAGCAAACTATTTTACGAAATTTCTTGTTTTTATTTATTCTTGTTATGTTTAGATTTCTGATACTTTGTTGATGTAAGATGTTAAGGTTGGTGGTGGAAATTTGAGTCATGACTTGGAAAACATGCTCACGTTTCAAAAACAAAAGCTTGATTTCTTTCTTTACGAAGAGCCTTTAGAGTTCATTATCTCTTCTTCTTTTTCTTTCCTTTATTTTTTCTTCACCACCCCCTTCTTCTTTTCTTTATCTCCTCTTTTTCTTTTCTTCATTTCTTCTTTTTCTTTTTCTTTTTCTTCTTCTTCACCGAGTTGACCCTTCATAGCCTAAAGGAGTTCAGATGGCGTCACGGTTTAGGTCCTCGTTTGATGCATTTCTGAAACTATGGGGGACATTTTTAACAAAATCTACATAGTTCCCCCACAAACACATTTATTAAAACTGTGGGGACCAAAGTAAAGTGATTTACTCTCCTGTTAGAAGCCACTCTCTGAGATTTATATGCTCAGTCTTTTCCCAACATTTTCCCCCACTTTCCATGTAGCTCCATAGTTCGTCATGGAGTCCAATTTTTTTGTCTCGGGGTGGAACATAAGAAGCCAATCCATAGTCATTATAGTTTTATCACATGCTATTTCCATTAGTATATATTATTTTTTATCATCACATGGGTTTTACAAACTGATGTGGCACATGACATGGGATTCACAATATTTAATATTATATAAGTGTCATTTGGGCCCACATGCCACATGGTGCTGATGTGGTATGCCACGTCAGTTTATATGCATACTTGCTTGTCGTGTGTGTATGACTTTTTAATAATACTTTGTTAGTTGGATTAAGTGATTGACTCAGAATTTTCAATAAGAGTCTTATATCTAAATATGATAAAAAAAAAAATCATAGTTTAAAATTTAGAATAATATATGATAACTAAAAGTTCATATAAAGTGATAATAATTATTACATTCTATTGAAAAATTCTTTGAATTTGTTTTTTTTATAAAAATAAAGATGTCAATTAATAAGTTTTATGGAGAGCAAAACTAATAAACAAAAAAAAAAAAAAAATTATATATAGAGAGAGAGAATTTTATCACAATTATGACTATGTTAAAGTTCATTATTTACAATTTCTGTTAAATAAAAAAGTATTAGAGTTAAAAAACCTGAAGATTGATAGTAATTTTAAGAGGGCACAAATGTAATAGAACAAAAATACCTAGGATTAATATGGTCAACGGCTATTAATTTATTTTTTTTATGTTTTGTTTTCGGGAAGTGTTTTTAGCCCCTGTCAAATTGATCAGTGTGCCCCACTTTTAATTACTTTTTTGTTTTAACAATTTTAACCTTGATGGAAATTACTAGAAATAATATAATAATTTATAATTTATAATTTAGTTTTGATTTTTAACTTTTAATTATTAGTAATGAACGGTACTGGTCAATTAGATAGTGCTAAAAATCACTTCCCGTTGTTTTCTTATGGTTTGTTGATGGAAACTGAAATGGTATGCGGATGGGCCGATTTATGAATGGTTTGTGGTGGAAATTTGAGTCATGAATCCAAAAGAAGAAGTTTGATTTCTTTCTTGAGAAAATGACATATTCCCACCCGAGGTTTGGCAAAATCCTACTTTGATATCTTTGATTACATTTATTCCAGATTCTCACCCTTAAACTAATGATGTTTTCTTTATTGTAACAGATTCTCAAATTTTCCTTATAGTGTGGCGCACGTTAAAGTGTATCGACGCTTTTATTGATAGAAGATGGACTCATATTAGAAAAAAGCAGCTCACGTTAGTAGTGTCCAAGCCAACGATTTTTGGCTTTTTTCAGCCAATTCCAAAGTCTAAAATAACTTCTGAAACCACCATTAGACTCCTCACAATCTCTCCTACGAAACCCATAGCTTCATTTGCTAACCTCACTCACTGTTTTCGACCACCACCAATAGTAACTAAAAATGTTAGTTTAAGGGTAAAAATCTGGAATAAATGCAATCAAGGGTATTAATTTAAGATTTTGCTAAACCTCGAATGGGAATATATCTTTACTGGCTCTTTCTTTTACAAATAGCCTTTAAAGTTCTCTTTGTTAAAAGCAGCCAGAGACTTTTTCCGCAGATACCTTTGTTTCCACAAAACATGAATCGCATTTGATACATTCTTCAACAACTAGTTTAACCAATTAAGATTCCTAGGATGCTTTTGGCATGTTTTCAGGTTTTCATCTTTCCCAATTTCTTCGTAAAATATGAAATATATATTAAAAGCTTGCTTATAGACTTTTGAATGAGACTTTGTTGTTGGATTATATTCTTGTCGGGCGTCTAAGACCCTGTGATATGATTTTCATATATTTGTTTATATGATATATTTGATATAGGGAGGACAGGTTCTGTTTCTAGTTTGCATTGCATTGAGTTATTAAAAGTGTTTATTCTAGAGTCTGTACTTGACTGAACTTATTTTACAGATCAAAAGAACTTATTTGAAGTCATAAGCATTTTAAAATTATTTTAGGTTGTTTAGTTGTAATTCAAAAGCATTTATAATATAAAATAAAATAAAATAAAGCTATTTTATGTAGACGGTTACAAAAAGGGGGGTCTGATCCTATGAGGTTGAGGTCACTAGCAATCCTTGCACCTGCACCTGCACACACAAAGAAACAAGCGTAAAGTGAATAGGAAATGTCAGGGTGGTGTTTGTTATAGGGGTGTTCGGTTCCGGGTATCCTACACTTTTTGAAGGAATCGGAATCGATGGTTCCTTGAAATTTGGAACCAGAACCGGAACCGACGATTCTGGTGCCTAGGTACCCAGAACTAGAACCTATAACAACGGTTCCGGT